ACCCCACCCCACTCCACTTATGCATATGGAACAGCAGCCAGGGCCCACTGCAAACGAGAGGGCCCTCTCTGACATGATGTATACTGTACGTCAATATGGTACTGATGTATTTTAAGATGCAAACAAGGCTTTAAATTATATGCACCTCCATGTCAGCGGCTCAGAGTGGCTCCCACCATCTGCCTATCAGCTGGCAGATGAGAGAAAGAGGGCGTCCAGGTTCTCGTGTGCATGTTTGTGTCCGCTTGCATCTATTAGAGGCACATGTTTGAGTTACCTCTCCTTGTGTCTCCTCCTCGAGCGCGTGGCTAATAGCTGCTTTGAGTCCCATCGCTGAGATGTGACAGCTTAGCGGTGATAAACGCCGACGTTGCTTTGTTCTGCGTCAAACGTGAGGCGAGCCTGCATATCAAGTACAAACAGTTCCTGTTAAAAAAAAGGCTAAGGGATGGCAGGTGTTACCCTGTTTTCTGGATGTTAGCTAGAACAGTAATAGGTACATATCTTTCTCTCGCCGTGCATCTTTGATTTCGCTACTTCATTGTGGGGCTCTCCTGAGACACGCGCACACCGGGGCCTCGAGCTTCAGCGCTGCCAGTCCCCGCTGTTTGAGAGCAGCCTCATGAATAAAGATTTCAGTCACGTTCGATACACTGGAACCTCGGAACTACCACAATGACAAACCAGTGCTTTATGATCTCTGCAGTGTGCCCAGCATATGTATGCCTGTAATCTCCGACTCACTGTATCAATCATATTGGGCTCATGATGATTGATGTGGACGACTGTGTTGGAATTTGCTATTCTAGTGGAGATCGAGCTGGAAACGGGAATGATTATTTCGAATGTGATGTCAGTAATCATTCAGTCCTACCAGAGAAGAAGAAGGAAAAAAAAACAAGTGGCAAGTTTAAAGAGATGCATGCAAACTGTTCTCAGAGCTATTTGGTGTTTTGTCTGAATTTTTCAAGCGAAGCACGCACCAAACAATCTGTGCTAACTGCTTTAAAGTCTTGGTAAAGCTGAAATAAAGATACAGTATATCCAAGCAGCTCACCCAGGATGGTAAAAATAACTTTTAGTGTAGTTTTTGGAAAGTTTTATTTTTGCAAATACCACCATCAGGTTTTTCAAATATTTCTATGATGTTTTCAAAAACTCCCAACTAGGGTTGGGCATAATCGTCTTGTGTGCAATTAATCGTCAGAAAAACATTAATCGATTATTTTTTGGCACTTGACGATTAATATGATTAATGCCACCAAGGAGACTGACTGGGGATTACTCCAGTCAGTCCGCTCTGCGCTCCTCTCTGCTTCAAAAATGACGAATATTTTTTTTTAAAAAGTACTGTAAATTTTTTAAATTTATCATCACAATTTAAAATTTGACACAATTTGGAACAGATTTTTACGAAGAGCAAATCTCTCCCACTAAATTGGTCATGTGGCTAGGACATAAGGGTGTCCAGGGACTCCAGGGGATTAATCGTCAAATTAATTAAATACCACAATTAATCATGATTATTTTTTTGCCAATATTGCCAAACCCTACTCCCAACTAGCACTTTTTTACCATGAAGTTGGACTGCTTTATTCATTATATATATA